TAAACAAATTTCTCTTTGATTAATTAAAAGCTGCTTAAAACTGTCAGACAAAGCTGAGGAGCAAAACATTTCTGTCTTTAGTGAGATCTAGGAGCAAGTCATAATTGAAATGTCATGGCTGCTAAGGACCATTTTATTTTTCTTCAACCTTACAGTTATTAAGCATGGATTATGGATCAGATGCAAGAAAAGTGTGTGATAGGTCAGCTTTTAAATAGATAAATGCTCTCTGAGGCTTGGCAATTTTGTTAGCAGTTATTTTTGAGTAGTTCTGTCTTTTCCAAATGAGGTGGTGGATGGTAAGGCAACTCAGGGATATACTGAGTGCTAGTTCATCTAGAGAAATTCAAAATGTATTAAAATGAACATTCCCTTTGTGTTTACAGGAGAAAAAACAGGAGACGAAAATGTTACAGAATCAGTATTGCAGCCATCCTTATAAGAATGCAAAATTTTCAGGAAATACAGAAATCTAGAAGTTTTTACAGTTATTGCCTCCTGGCAGGGAGTGGTGCTTGGTGAAGTTCAAGAAAAAAATGAGTGGGACAAGTGTGCCCTGCAGCAGATAACAGTAAGGTGAAAGGGAAATGAGAATAATAGTTGAACTCAGAAATGGGGTGGAATGCTATGTTTGTGACTTGAAGAGCCTGTTTAAAGTCAGAGTGGATGGTCTTCTATTTTCAACACTCCTAATAACCTAATTCATTGCCCCACAATTCTTGATGAAATAAAGATATGAAATACATCTTCAGGGTCAGCATGCAGAAAGAATAACAAGACTTGTGCTAACAGATGATTGTTTGAATTAAAATAAATATTGGAGTTGGTAGAGATTAGATAACAAGCCTTGTACCTCCTCTCTCTCATGGTATAAGGGAAAAATGTCTTCGGGGGGGTTATTTTTATTTTCAGTATAATAAAAATGATTATAAATGGATTAGGAAACCAATGAGACAAATAATGTAAAAGATCAAAATATTTTGATCTTTTACATTATGTGAACCGAGAGATCTGATGAAGCAAAGTATCTCTTGTGCAAGCAAGGGCAGACATTTTCAATCACTAGCTGTTTGTGTAAAATAAATAAACAGAAGAACTAAAGTGAATCACATTTCCAGATGAGAAGCATGAGCTTTATTTTTCTCTTGTCTTTTAAAAAAACTCTGTTTCGTATAGATCTTGCCGGCCTTTGCTAGAACTCTAGACTGAAATCAGTTTTGAATAAAAGTTGAATTAACATTGAATCTTCTTGTGATACTTAATCTTGTAAGTTGTTCATTAAGAGCAGTTACTTAGAAGGACTATTAAAATTAAATCTGTATTTTGAAGATAGACATCTAAGATAGGTACTAAAGGTGAAGGTGATTTGCGAAATGGATCAATCTAATCACAAATGGGTAGTGTTTAGAGTGAGTTGATACTAGTTGCTGTTTAGCAACAAATTTTTTATTGATATTGGTTTGGATTGCCTATAAATTATAAAACTTCAAAAAGAGCAATGTTAACTCTTTGATCTAGCATTAGTTTTTTGTAGTTTGTTTAAATTCAAGCCTTAAGTGGCATCTCCATTTCCATTCACAAATAGAGGAAACCAGAAAAATCATACAGCATGTAAGGAACATAAATACTTAAGTGAATGTTTATTTATGGAAACTAGGAGAAAAAAACAAAAAAAAAACAAGCCCTATCAGTGTTTTCTTTATGCCAGTTTGGAAGATTTTACTTTAATATAAAGGAGTTGCTTGGGAAAAACCTCTGGTGTAGAGGTAGTGTGTGTAAGAGAAATACTCTGATTTTAACAGACTTAAGAAGAGCTAAGCAGATATTGGTAAGATACATAACACAAGAAAAAAGACATCAACTAGCAAAGAAAGACGTTACTTTTTTCCCCACTGCAGAAATTAGCTTTTGTGTAGTACACAATGTTTAGAAACATTAGTCTTTGAAATCTCTCTATGGAGAGAATTTTCTTACTTTATTTTTGGGTTTTTTTACAGTATTAATTCCCGAAATTGTTATAACTTATAAGAATTGGGAATGAATGTTAATTTTGGGATATAGGCTTGATACTTTTGTGAATAATTCAAAATGCTATCACTGTTGGGCAGCTTGAGCTTGTGGTGGTTAAAATTGAATTGCAATCTAAATGGGCAGTTTGCCTGTGCAATCTGAGGTAAATGATCTAGGCAACTGTAATAATAAGGTAGACTGTGATTGAAATATCTTTTGAATTAAGTCTTAGCAGTTAGTAATCAGAAAATGCATATATCAAGATCGGTTGTACTACTCAAAGCTTTCAGAAATGTGACTCCAAATGCATTTTTCTTCAGCTACTGTGGGCATATTTATATTAATATTCAAACTGGCATAATTTTTCAGTTTTGTCTCTACACTATTTAGCAGTGTCCTTTGTTTTCTCTTTTGTTACATTGCCTTGTGCCCTGGGTATTAATATCTCTCTCTCTCTCAAAGGCTAGTTGCCCAGAGTTGAAGCAGTATTATCTTCAAAACCAAGCACCATGAAGCTGAAGGTGTGGTTTAGGTGTTCTTGAAAGTTTTAAAAGAAGGAGGGTATGCTACTATTAAGGACATGGATTGTGTAGTCTTATCCTGCCTCAGGATGCTATGGCAGACGGTGTCGATGGGAATTGAGATACCCAGTATCCCGTTTTTTTCATTAAGTTCCTCCTATAGTTGAGTTAAACTCAGAGAAAGGTATACTTCCTTTCATTAGTAGTTACTAGCACTTGCCTAAAAGATTAGACATAATTATAATGAGTAAAACTCTTAAATTTCTGGGTTTCTTTTCCTCAGTTCATTATGGTAATGGCTATTTTGTTATTCCCACAGCTGTGGGAATGCAGCAGTCATGGATAAAATGCCAGTGTCACAGCAGGATGTTACATTTAGAAATGCACACCACCAAATAGCAGTAACTGGTTATTGCTTTTATACAGCATCTTTAACAAAAAAAAAAATCTACCTCTTTTTCTGCTATCTGCTGTCTACACTGAGTCTTCTCTCTTTGGAATTGCATAATTAGTGCTTTTCTGCCCTTGGTGGGGAAGGTACTGACAGTTTAGCTCTGTCCTGTCCTCTCCTCTCTCTGGGATAGCAGGAAGGAATTTGAAGATGCCACAGGAGAGGCACAGGTTCCTCAGTCTAGTGAAGTTAGAACAATGAGGCTAATGAGAACATTGATCTTCTCTCTGTGCTCCTGTGTTTTTAGAAAAAAAACCTGTATTCGGTAGTGTTATTATTATTATCATTATTGTTTACTTATTGTTATTACTATTGCAGTTTGTATTGCTCAGTTGTTACTTTGTTGTTGACAGCAGAAGACTTTTTAAGAAAGTGCTGTTAGAAAGAATAAACAGTTCTAACTTGAGTTTCTTACCAAATGTCGGTAGATCAGTGGCTAATAGCAGCAGTTATTAATACCATTTCCTTTGAATAGTACAACTTGTTAAATAGATACTTTCTCTAGTCACTGATTAGTTAGAAAGACTCATCATACTTAGACTTTTCAGGTAAAATCAGGAATAGCTCTTACACCAGGGAACACTAATCTCCATCCCTACCAGCCTTCTGGCTCTGTTCTGATCAGGGCAGAGAGCACAAATGCCAGCAAAAAGCCCAATGCTGGAGCCCACCTGTCCTAGAAGTACACTGTGCCTGCACAAGAGTCCTCAGTGAGGGGACAGGAGGAAGAGAGGATCCCCTTCACTTAAGAGAGCAGTAGAGCCGCCACTGAAAAATCATCTTATTGTAAATTCATCTGGTTTTGGACTTCATACTGCCAGTTAGTTGTCTGTACTGACAGCTTCTGTCATGTGCAGTAGCAAACTGGTAGGATACTCTGGGTGGTCCTTACTTAATCCTTGGGTCTGAAAGAGCTGCATTATGAATAAAACACAGGGATTCAGTTGAGCTTTATTTTGAGCTGTGCTTTCAGTGCATTTCTAGTCTTGTCAAATTTGTGGCCACAGTGTTTGCATATATTATACACATATAACACATACAGAATATATAATCATATAGCATATAGTGCAGTTCTCATTCTTCTTCACTTGTTTTTCCATGGTATACAGAAATATCTTTCTGATTGAAAAGAAATTTTTTAGATGAAGAAAGAAAATGGAAATCAAAGTGTGCTTGAGCTGGCTTAGTCATGGCACTGTTAGTTTTCGGGCTGACCACTGTGCAACATGATGACATAGTATGTGTAGAATTTCTGGTCTTGCTTGATAATACATGAAGTTGACATGCCATTTCATTGTAAAAATAGGCTTCACTTTAGCATGGTGATACAGAGAATATATTAATGAAAGTGAATTATGGGCTGTTCTTTGGTTTCTGATAATCTGCCTCGTGACCCTCCAAAATTTCAATTTTGCAAGATCAAGCATGGGCCTTTACACTATGTGGTGCAGGCTAATAACTGGAAGATTGAAGACTGCAATTTTAGAAATAAAGCAAAATTCCACACTTGCTAATGTTGCTAATTAACAAGAGGTTAATATGTGTACATCTGCTTTAATTTATAATGCTTAAGTCATCTGTATCGGCTTTTGTTTCATGTTTTGTTTCAGACATCTTTTGTGTTTTTTTCTTATCCATCTTCAATTCTAGAACAACCAGAGAATGGTAATGATGCTACTGAATTGGGCAACTTTATCATACCTGAGATTAGTGTCACAAGTGTGGCTGGAGAGAGGACCGGGAATGGGGAAAAGAGCAGAGCACTAGCAGAGAATGATGTGCAGCATTTACAGGGAGTACAGGAAACAGCTACAGATCCTAGAACTGACAGCAAAGGCATGCCAGAAATCAGGAGGCAAAAATCTGTAAGAAAAATGATGGAGGATGGAATAAACTCATCTGGCAGAGTGCAGTTTTAGCAGAGCACTTGTAGCTGCACTCTAAGGTACCACTGTTGATTGAAAGGGTCACTGCTGCATGTTTCAAGAATTAAAGTATGCAGTTAATATATTTGCATGTGTAATAACACAATTGCATGTATTGCACACAGCTTCGTCTGTGCCACAGACAGTGATGATATACTTACAACTAGATTTATTTAATCTGGAGAAAATACACAGAGACTCAACCTACCTTTGGATTTATTAAGCATATATACAGAGTTTTCAAAATCCAGTGATCAATGGTATGAAAAATCCATCAAAATGGATGTGAAAAGTACCTCAGACTTCCCAAATTCAACCTTTCGTGGTGTACTGGAGATCTCATGTTGTGCTTGAGTTTCAAACTCCTACTACCAGACCTGTGATGCAGAAAGTGACCTTTCAGTCCCAAAGCATTCTTGGGTTGCTAAACATGCAGATACCGTAATGGGTGTCCTGGGGCATTGATCACATACCTCTGTAATTAACAAGCTTTGCCAAATCATGTAGTGGATCACTTGCTGAAAATAAGATTTACCCTTTTTTTTGTTCTGTGTGGTACCTTCTAATCTCTAAGTTTCTAACTTCCTGCATGAATTAACAAGTCCGCATTTCTTTTTTTTTTTTTCCTAAAATCACAACAAAACGAGGTTGGGGGCATGCTTTTGTGGCATTATTTGCTGTAACTCTAATCCTAATGAACCTTAATTCCAAAATGTCGTGGAATAGGTAAGTATTTTGTCTTCTGTACTCTGCTCTATTGCTTTATGGCTTCACGCTTGTAAATATCAAAAAATGAGCAATATGTAAAGTCAGTAAATGTGAGGAAGTCAATTGCTAATTCTTTATTTCTGTTTCTACCATGCAGGTAATTCTGATTTAGGAATTGAAGAAGAACTAATAGAGGTATCTGAAACTGATGAAGGGTTTTACTCTAGGGCTACTTCTAGTGCAAGTCAGTCTGCCCTATCTAACAGCAGCAACACGAGCAGCAAGAACCTTCTAGGGAAGAGCCAGCGAAGGTCTGGAGGAATCAAAGCTGGAGGAAAAGAAAAAGAAGGAGAAACCTGCAGAGAACACTTATCACGAAAACAAACTCAGAGAGCCATGAGTGAGAATCTAGAGCTTGTCTCTCTGAAGAGACTGACACTGACAACTAGCCAGTCCCTGCCTAAGCCTGGCAGTCATAGTCTGGCCAGAACGACCACTACTGTGTTTAGTAAATCCTTTGAACAGGTCAGTGGTGTCACAGTTCCAAATAATCGTGGTGGTGTCTCTGGTATGGAGGCAAACAGGTTTTCAGCTTGCAGTCTTCAGGAGGAAAAACTGATATATGGAACAGAAAGAACAGATCTTCCAATTTTAAGCAAACCACCTAATCAGCAGCGACCTCCAAGTATTAGCATAACTTTGTCAACAGATTGATATTAAATTGGACATTATGAAAAATAAATTATTGAGGATTTGTTCTGATATTGGTAAATTAAAGTCCTTAATATGCTATACATTACTTCCTTAAACCCCAAGCCTGTAAATTCTTACTTGGCTCACGTTTGACAGTAATAGTGAATAGACAACAGTTGTAATTATTTTTGAGTCAACTTCTGATAGCTTGGAAAGTTATTCTTTTTACAACTTCATGAGAAGTTTACACCTTCCCCAGTTGAACAAGCATTGACTGGTTGTTTGGCCACTGATGAAGGTGTGTGGCTTCTTACAGATGTGTAGTGTAGGAACAAATAGAGACTTTCTCCCAGATTCTACTTTTTCACTACCCTTGGCATAGGCAAAACTGCAAGTACCTTTTTTTTTTTTTTTTTTGGAACAGCATCATAAGAACAAACGTTCTCTTACATTAGCCATGAGAAAGCTGTGCTTACATGTAAAGATTAAAACTAGAAGCATCACTACCGTGTTTGATGTTGTGGTTGGTTTTGTAATGGTAGTTAGTACATCTTGTAATGTTCATAGTTCTTTATGCCTATACGAGTCCAATTTATACATGCATTTTAGTTTTTCTATATGTCTTCAAAACTGGGCCAAAAGTCATACTGCAGCAGTACTTCTGGGTGGGAGTTATTATCGCTTGCTATAGTAGTCAGCCTTTAGTCTTAGAAATTATGTGACAGACTCTCTTTCTTTAGGATTCTTAAATATCAGTTGCAGAGCTACTCACTGAAAAGTCTGCCATCAGTATTTTTATTATTTGTGGGGAAGAGATGTGCTTGTGTATCAATGTTATGCAGGAAAATGAGCCCTTTGCACTCACTCAAGCAAATCAGGAGCATGAATGTGTTTAACATGAACTTTGTACTTGAGACTAAGAGAATACTACCAAAGGATGTGTACTTTCAGTAACTTGCAAGCACAAAGGGAATTATAATGTAAATATAACTAACACTGTAATTCCTAGTCTTTTATATCTATTATTTTTCTAGTTTGAAATTCTAAACCAGCAGAGCCTGTTCAAGGTTTCCTAACCCTTAACCTTCAGTGAGTTTGTTTGATACCAACTTTTCTAATGTTAGGATTTTAATTAAAAAAGGACATTAAAACTTCTTATGCAGAAATTTGAAGAAGCGGTAGCTGACAAAACCACTCCAGTAGCAGTGATTAGCTGATAAACGGACAATGTATTAGGATGAAGATCTAAGGCATAGTCACTCCCAACTGTCCAGATTTCTGCAGCTGTTAATCCATTATTGTTAAGAAACTTGTAAGAAAACAATCACTAAAATTCTGGTAGACTTCCCCATTTTTTCTGGAAATAAGTTTAGATACTCCTTTTTGACTTAAACTGAAGCACAAATAACCTTTAAGCAGCTAATGTTATTCAGGTTTGTAGCAATTAATAAGCTGGTTAGTTAGTGAAAAGAGATGAGACATAGTTGATAGGGACAGTTATATAATTGTAGTACTAAGATTGCAGACTAGATGTGTCCATTCCTTAAAATTCACCAAAGTATGTAGAATAACTGCGTTAGTCTGTAGGTGTTTGTCTTCACCTGAGAGCCTGAGCTTAAAGGAATATGCCACGCTTTTTCATTCCTCAGTTTGTTGTGTGACACTGTTCTATTCTAGTAGCATAGTATTTCACCTTTTTACAGTGAAATGGTTTCTTAATTGTACATGAAAACTTAATTCCTAATGTATAAACTATAAATTTGCCCTGTTAATTTTTTAATCCTTTGGCCGGTGAAAGAAACTGGTTCTCTGAGGTTGTATGTTTTTGTAAATGCTTTGTACAGCAGAAAATTTTGCCTCTTTTTTTAAAGTTTTTTTCTGCAATATACATTAACACATTTGTTTCAGATTGGCTAATACACGTGGCTGCTGGAGCAGGCATAACCACGAGCAACAGAACCGTGTTTGGCAGCTGATAATAGACATTGGCTGGTTCTACACACACTGGATGTGGAGCACTTCCTTCCCTTGAAATTTGCTCTAGATGTTGCAAAGAAATAACCTGCAGATCTCACAGCAGCCTCCTGATCTGCTTTTGCAGTGCAGGACCTGAGAATACTTTGGGAAAATTTTACCGTAATTTAAATTGAGACATAAACTAGAATAGATAAGTAAAATTGCAATAGACAGGTACTTGTGATGGTATTAGTTGTGAGTTAGTGTTAAGGGACTTGAATTTTAAACTAATTTTACTGGTTTTGGTTTGTTACATTTAATTTATGATTGTCTACCGTGGAGGTAACAATAAATTTTTCAAGCTGGGTGTTGGTATAAAAGGTATTTATTATACTGGGAAGATTTAGTCCCTTTAGTTCTAAATAATTAGGATTTTGAAGGATCTAAAATGCCATACAATGTGGATGTGTAACATGATGTTTACGATACTGTTGGCTACAAGTCAAATGGCATTAAAATAAAGGTAGTTTATTCTTTTATTTTATCCATCTGATGTTGTCTGAGCCCAAGATATAGGCTTATATTGGTACAACTGAAATAACATAAAGCTTCATACTTTTTTGAGAAACTCGTAAAAGGAAAGGTTCTTGATACTGTGGGCTGCTCTTTCCATACATATGTGGCTTCATGTACATTTGTATGTATTGGTCTCTAGAGCAGTTTACATAGTGAGCATGTTTTTGTGAGCTGACATCACACCTTGATACTGATCGAGGCAAAAAAATTTATTTCCTGATATGAGTACCAAAACTTTCAGTTGTGCTTCTTTCTGTTCTTAAAAATGGAAAAGATAAAAAAAGACAGAACTGGGGAGAGGGATGGGGGAAAGTAGGGCAGGAAACAGATATTTCTAAATAAATCTCTCTTTTCATGATATTTCTAAAATTGTCAAACTCTGGGGGTTTGGGCATTATCTGATCACTTCAGACTGCTGAATGGAAAATGTGTGTTAAAGAAGCAGATGCCTTTTAACAGTGTAAGGAAAACCTATTAAGACTATCCATATTATAGTCTGCCTGGGAGTGGGCAGTTCTGATGAATACCTTCTGAGCATACACAGCTGCAACATCCTGCAGGAAAAATGTTATGTAGGAGTGAATCATCTCAGATTGTAATAAGAGGAGTTGTTTCAGTGCTGACGTTTATGACTGACCTTACTGTTTTAAATCAGAGGGCACTGTTTCCAAGGCTTTGAACATCAACACTTCCAAAACTCTATTGAAACTGAGAAGAATTATTTTTGTTGTGAGAATATGTAACATTCCCACATGTTACAGCGGATGGCCTCTAACCACTTGTTGTAGAGCTGCAGTGACTTTTCTGAATTGATTGAAATGTCTTGAATTGCCTTGATTACCTAACAAATTTAAAAGGTACTGAAATATATAGCTATTTTAGCCACACTTCTCTCTGAGGAGGTTTCCTATGAGAATTCTAGAAATTTCTAACTTAATTGTCTAATACCTTTTGTCAGTGTTTGTGGCTTACAGTGGTGTATATAGGTGTGTAATATATTGCCTTTTGTATTTGTATAATTCTACTTCTAAGACTAGATGTGTACATTTTTTAATAGTCACTGAAGTCTGTGGAATATCTGCCTCAGTCTATAGATGTCTGTCTTCACGTGAGAACCTGAATTTAAATTACTGCCACACTTTGTCTCATTCTTCAGCTCATTATGTGACACTGTTCTTTGTTTTAGTAACACACTATTTCACCTTTTTTGCAGTGAAGTGTTCTCTTACATTGAAAACTTACATTCCTAATGTATAAGCTACGAAGTTGTCTTTTTAGTGTTTAATAATTTTGGCAGTAAAATAAATTGGTTTTTTTGAAGCTGTATGCTTACGTAAATAGTTTGTATGGCAGAAAATGTTGCCTCGTTACAGACTTTGAATATACATTACATAGCAATGTATTTGTACACTTTTCATTACACACATCTAGAAGTCACAGTAAGGTTGACTGCATTACTTTAAAATATGCTTAATGCCAATTTTACAGAATGTAGGCTCTGCAAATGCAGCCTTTTCAGGTACAACACCACGGCTGAGAAACACTGACAGGCGAAGGGTGAATTCAAGCATGTGAGTTGTCAATCTGCAGAAGCAGATGATGATCCTGTCAATAATGTAGCACTTCTTGGGCAGCTTGATAGTTTTGGTGGTCTTAATATAACAGTGGCTTGATACACAGCCATTATCTACAATATGTCTTTTTAACTAGATTTTTTTTTATGCTGCGATCATCACTGTGTTTGTGATCTGACAGTGATCTGGCCATCTTTGCTTCAAGGGTGGGTGTGGCTGGCTCATGTTCCCCTTGTTCATGGAGACCCCCAGGGCTGCTTCTTTTTGGCCCCTCTGTGTGCTGGTGCCTGGGTTTTTTTCCCAGGTGTAGGACTTGGTAGTCCTTGTTAAACTTCCTGAGATTCATGTGTTGGCTCACACCTGCCTGTTGGTGTCCCTGTGAGTGGCGACACACCCCTCTGGGCTATCAGCCTCTCCTCGTAGTCAAACACACTTAAGGTGAGCTCTGTCCCCTCATTTGCCTTCTTCATTAATAAAGATTTGAAATTGTCCTGCCCTGGGTATTGACCCCTGGAGTTCACCAGTAAGGCCAGTTATCCAGATGGACTTTATGCACTGGTGACTTTGTGCCCTTAGATCCTATCACTTGAGGGAGTTTTCTGTGCTCTGAGATCCAGGGTTCCTGGGGGCTGCTCTTGCTGGTAACAACAGAAGCAAAGGTGTTTTTTTCCATATCTCCTCTCAGCAGGTCATCTGCCCCAGTCTGCTGTGGAACCTTATTTTTTCCTAGTCTTTTTTTTTTTGCCCTTCACCTCCTGGCCAGATTCCACTTTTGGGCTTTCCTAACCCCATCTGTGCATGTGTGGATGGTGCATCTGCCTAGGTTTGCTGCTCTTGCTTCCACCTCTTCAGTGCTGTTTTTTCATATTTAGTCAAGAACTTCTTGTTCATGCATTTATGCCTCCTGCCAGCTCTGTTTGTTTTTCTGTATGTAGCCATAGACCATTCTTGAGCTTGGAGGAGATGGTTCTTTAACATCCGCCAGGTCTCCTAGACCCTTTTTTTCTAGCGTGGTCTCCTGTGGGCATCTACAGAGTAGATTCCTGTGCAAGGCAAGTTCTGCTGTGTTGGTCCAGAGTTGTGATCCTGCATTTTGTTTGAAGTTTTTTTCCTTTCCCCTTATAAACATAGTCTCTGTTGCTATGCTGTAGAAAAACCTGGATGAATGGAAGAGCTGTAGTAGATGGCAGCGGTTGGAGATCTCACTGTGCATAGTTCCACTTTTGTCACTGTCAGTCTTTAACCTTTTGTTTTGAATAGGCAAAACTCAATTTCCTTTCATATAAATGGGTGAGAAAGGAAAACTGC